AATCTAATTACACTGTTGAAGAGGTAACTTACAACACTGCACAACATGAACCTCAGTAGATAGGAGGAAAGGTAACAACCGTAATTACTGACGAGATCGGAAAAAAAAACTCAAATGAAACACGAGGACTTAAATACAAACAAAGGGAACTACTTTAGAGACAGTTGAACAGAATAAGTAATCAAAAAAGGAAACATGGTAAGAAATGACGAACTCAGACAAGTGGAAAAAGGGCAATGACTGAAAACAAACTCTAAACCAGGGGTGTCCAAACTTTTTTTAGTGAGGGCCAAATACAGTTCCTGAACTTGGAGAAAGTATACCTTGTGAGCAGGTACTTTTGAAGGGGGAAATATTTACCAGTGTTGTGCAAGTTACTTCCAAACTGTAATACATTAGGTATTACTTGTTACTGTTATTTAAATGTAATGTAATGCGTTACATTACTCATGTATTACTTTTGAGTTACTTTCACCAAAATAACTAAGTAGAACTTAACTTTGGGGCTGTAACGATATGCAATATGAAACCGAAATCGCGATTCGCCACACGACTCAGATCCACGAACCTACAGAATCGCGACAAACCTCTTCCAACTCCAGCGTTATTCTCCTTACCGTCCAGATCCAAAGCTGCTTTATCTTTAAATTATTTGAAGTTAACATTATAAAATACGTAGACCTACACCACAAAACTAGTTGAGGATAAATTATTTAAAATTGGGGAAGTCCAGCTTTATGGACATGACATTTGCAGTCAAAACTTGAAATAAAAATTCTCAGAAAATTCATGTATTGAAACGTATATAGGCTACTTCCTTAAAGGACTCCAGACATTAGACAAATATCAGTCTATGTTTTATTTTTAATATTAGGGAAAAGACACACATTCATGCGTGACAAAAAAAAAAATAGGAGGCAAAATATATTTTTTGTAATTCTGTTAATTACACTGCGCAAATCGGATGAGGAAGGGTTGGCTTAGTTTTCGTGTTCGCATTTATGAGGAAAAAACAATGTTACAGACGCGACCGCTCTGAACTGGCACTAAAAGACTGCTTTAAAACTTTCACATAGTCTGTTGCCTTTAAGAAGTAAAAGCAGACAATAGCTACACTGTAATACAAACCTCACTGAACATGTAACGAGTAAAATATTACTGAAAATTGATTAGTAATGCCTTACACTACTGCGTTACAGCAAAAAGTATGCTACTGTAATGTATTACTTTTGTAATGCGTTACTCCCAACACTGATATTTACCCAGAACTTCATTTAGTTCCTAAGGTGTAAATGCACGTAGACCAACTCCAAAGTCCCTAAATCCTGAGAAAAGTTTTCTCTTTTAGAATCTTTATAAAAGACTTGATTTTTTATTCATCTCGGTCATCGTGTGCTTGTGCCACCAGGAGCGTGACACACACACAATCACATTTATTCATATTATTATATCTTGTGTTTTGCATTTTTACAGAAAGTTGAAGATTATACTACTTGTGTGGTTTATGCACGAATCTGAGTAGAAGACCCAGATTGTGTGACCATTTCACTGGGAACTCAGAGAGTCCTCGAGTTTTGGGATTGAGCAAATCACAGCAGACATCCAGCAGGATCATCCTGAAGGAGTTTAAAGTGTAATATTAACAATGGATTAATTAAATAAATCATATAAATCCTGTGGCGTTTTTATGTGTTACTCTTAAAGTCAGAAGATGCAAAATATTCGTCAAAAGGAGTCAAAGTGAACCCTGGATGTGGTCTCATTTATAGACATCTGCACAGATATGTGGTTTGATCTGTTGGGTAGACAAACAGCTTCTGCATGGGCATGTTTGATGGCAGTTTGTGAGTGCGTCTCTGAGGTGTGAATGGCGTGTTTGTGTGGATGCATGTCTGAGGTGTCAGTCGGAGTGAATAGCGTTTGTGTGAAAAGCATGTCGTCGCAGGTGTTTTTTCCATTCCTGCTCACATGAAGCCGTTAACTTCTGCTCAAAAAAAGAATAGTGCAAAATACTGAACTATGTCTGACAAAAAAAGATCTCAAATCAAACTATGATAGTACTTTGAGAAGTTTAAATATTACATGCTTTGTGTGCATAAACAAGCTAGTCTTAAATACACATGCAGTGATCCTGAAGTTAAGCAGTGCTACATTATTGCTAGAGCTGGAAATAACTACTGAAACTAAACTCCCAGAAAAGAAAAATACAAAAGCGGTCACTGGGGTGATACGCTTTCAAAAGGTGCCTTATTAACTCTGAAAATGAAAATTGACTCATAATTTACTCACGCTCAAGTTGTTTCAAATCTGTATGAACACTTTTGCTTCTTATGCTGAACACAAAATAAGATAATTTGAAGAATGTTGGTCATCAAACAGTTGATGGTCTTGTGGAATTTTTTATAATCATTGATCCTATAGGTATTACAAAGTAGTGTGGGTCATATGTTTTTATTGTGATATGTGAACAAGATAAATGTATGTTTGTACACCTACGGTAATGCAGGGGTAAGACACTTTGGGAACAGCTGGGAAGGGACCTTTGACCTAGTATTTACACTAGTATTTACCTTTAGTGGTCTTAAGTGCTAAGTCTTGATGAATAGAAGGATATACAACAGAATGTGTCGTATCTTGAACGTGAACGGGCTCAGTGGTTCATGTAGGTTGTCTACAAACCGAAAGGTTGGTGGTTCAATCCCCGGTTCCACCTGACCAGGTGTCCATGAGCAAGACACCTAACCCCAGCTGCACCCCATGAGCTGGATGGCGCCTTGTATGGCTGACACCGCCGTCGGTGTATGAATGGATGAATGTGAGGCAATATGTAAAGCGCTTTGATGGCCATTAGGTCTATGAAGGCGCTATATAAATGCAGACCATTTACCCGCTGAATAAAGACCTTGTGAATAATATAAAAGCTCCTCTCAGTGTCTCACTCGTGCCACTGCGTAACTTCATGCAAGAATAAATACTTTTACAAAAGACAGTTTGATTCGGAGTATCTCTTACGCAGTGATAATGATTGGATAATCCATTGATGTCAATGGGACTCGTCAACTCTCTTACTGACATTCTTCAAAATATCTTCCTTTGTGTTCAGCAGAAGACATTAAGGTTGGAAATTATAAAATGAGATGAAGATTATAATTAATTAGACAGAAAATCTCACCTTTAATGTCATTGATAGTGGTAAAGTCCAGATACAGCTAGGACAGCTCAAGATATCCACTCCTGCTCCAGTTCCAGTTGTGTAACCAACACCTGCAGATGAGGAATCAGGGAACAAAACACTATAGTGTGAAACAGTGTTAATCCTTTTAACAATACAAATTACTTGTTTTAAATAAAAGTATATATATAGGCTTTTGATAAATTAATATTATTAGCAAATGCATCTGGTGGTGGATGTGAGTACCTGGGGTGCTCTGAGTGTTGTTTACTAGTGAAAGTGCCCACATCTCTGTGTTATTCTCAGTCTCTGTGATCTTCTGGTTTGATGTCTCGGTTCCTTCCTTCAGTGTGTATCTGATTCATCTTTATTCGGGTTAAAATCTTAACTCTGGACAGTGAAAAGAATAGCACGTCTCCTCAACAACACATTATTTTAGGACTCATTCGTGTCTGGAACACAGGACCGAAACTGTTTACACACTGATAAGTAAAAATGGATCCCGCTCAAAGATGTCGCGAAGATAACGTCACGTGACCATCACGCATCCTAGCCTACACAAAAACAATAATTTTTTATCAAATAAAGAGCATGAAAAGCTCTAAAGTCTATGTCTCTCGCTCTAAAGTCTATGGGATTTTTGAATGGGTTTTTGCTAAATCGCCTGAAATAAGGTCTGTGGTGAACAAAACCTCTAAATATTTCCACGTTTTGATCTATGACATAGAACACACAGTTATAACCTGCTTGTGGTTTTTTAAACTTTATTGTGTCTGATTGTGTTTTTAAAAATCTTTATATAGGCTTCAAAATGTATACATTTTGGATTAACTTGTAAAGATTATCTTGATAGACCAAACGTGTAAGGGTCACAACTCTTTGTTAAACACAGATCTTTTTTTTGCGATTTTCCAGAAGTCTATGGGGAAAATGCATTGCTTTTCGACCGAGGGATCCCATGAGCCGCTAGCTTCCGAGTTGTCCTACAAAGTGACGTCATCACTTCGGCACATTACTAGCCTACTGTTTCTATAAAGGTTATTAATAATATTCACTTTGCCATTGCCATAGAGCGATTGAACATGGTAATTATATTTCTCCACAAAATAGTTGCTGCATGTATTTTTCTGATTATAACGGTTCAAAGAAAATAAAATAAATTAAATATACATTTTGTCATTTCTCTTTTAAGTCACTCAAGTCTGGTAATGTTTCTTACCAAATTATGCTATATTGTCTTAATTATAAACAAGCTGTTTTACTGTTACTGATACAAGCATATGCATGCTGTGTTAGACCACCATCTAGTGGCTAAACTAGGAATTCACTGTTCAAAGAATGTTCATTAGATTTTTTTAATGCCATTTATCGCATGAACATACACACATATCTTTCGAGCCTTCGGGCGAGTTTTTGGCAAATGACAGTGAAATATAAAATTTTAACATTAAATACACCGCCTGCTCAGAGTAAATCAAAAACTTACACGTAATACTTACACTTACAGAAAATGTGCTGTAAGAATAAGTTTAAAAGCCTTGGATTAAAAGGTGTATGTAAGAATTAGCATCCGGAGAGGACAATTTAAGTATGTGATAGCAGCATGATGTCAATCTTAAAATGATAACATAAACATACAGGTCTTTATCAATGTCAGCAATGCAGCAACACCTGGTATCAACACCTGGTATCATCTGATTCAGTGTCAGTAAACTTTTTCCTCAAATTTGCCAATCTCATGTCATCTCATCCGTATGAGGATTTTATCAAACACTCTGTCTCTCAAGCAATCAGGAAGAATTTTACACATTTTTTTTATCTTCTGTGGTTTTTTTTTTTTTTTTTTTTTTTACAGAAAGTTGAAGAGGAAGATCACGTAGATTATGTGCCTGTCAGCATGAGAGAAATAAATAAACTTAAATCTTAAAAAGTAGCAGATCTCCAGCGACAGTCTCAGTCTGATCTAAAGAATGTGCTAAATACAAAGACTTTTACCAATTATTGGTATTGTAAGATCAGTTTAGCATGTTGACTCTTGAATCCTCAAAACTAATTCAGATCATGCATTTACATCTGTACCAAAAATGTATTGCGATCTGTTGAGTGAACAGGTTCTGCATGAGTATTGGGTATTACTGGAAGAGTTTGAGCGGTCAGTATGTGTTTCAAGCTTAGAGTTATTCATTGTGTTCATAACTTGTTCAAAAAAATATGCATTAATTGTGAAAAACCATAAAGCAAATGATAATCCTAATAATTTCCCCCAGAAACTACAGTTATTATACATACTATTAAAAAAACTGTGCAAGATCTTTTTTTTTTAAATGTTCCAATTTCTTTTCTGATATTAGTTTTACTGTAATCACTAATAACTGTTGGTAAAAGTTTAGTGCATTAGTGTTATAATAATGTATAACTCAATAATTCATTATTACTTGGTAATGGTAACACACACAAAACATATTTTAGAGACACAGATTACAGACTTCATGAATGAATCTTGTTATTTGTATCATGAACATTAAAGAAATGCAAGTTATTTCCTTGTTTCAGTTTCCAGGAAATATTCTATCCAGAGTGCAAACAATATGAGACCCTTATTCATCGCCTGCGTCGTTTAAAGCCCTTTGAAGCCGCACTGAAACTCTCATTTGGACCTTGAACCGTTTGGTTCCCAATGAAGTCCATTATATAGAGAAAATCCTGGAATGTTTAACAAAAACCTTAATTTCTTTTCGACTGAAGGAAGAAAGACATGGACATCTTGGATGACATGGGGGTGAGTAAATTATCAGCAAAAGGTTTTTTTTTAAAGTGAACTACTCCTTTAAGTAGACATCTGACTGTAGTACTTTTACTTGTACTTTTTGGCACCCATCCCTGGAATCGAACACTGGAATAGTTTCAGTTGATCGTCCTCTCTCCATCATTTTCTAAATCTCTTTAGTGTTCAATTCAATGATTATTCTATAGTTTGCCTTGTCCTCAATCCCCTTTCCCATCTCGTTCATTCAGGCATCTGCAAGACAACACAGATTCACAAAAGGTTAGAAGAAATGAGAAGGATAAATTAAATTGAAATTGTGTTTTTTTTTCAGTTGTTTGTACAGAGGTTTTCTTTTACTAAATATTTAAGACTATCTTAAACTGCATTGTCATCTCCTGTACTACAATAATCAAAAAAGTGAAGTAGTATGATTTTAACATCGCATCTGAAATTCTTGAATTCATTCTTTGCGAAAGATGGATAAAAAGGCGCATATGAAACAAAAACCTTGGAGAAAATATATTCGATCCGGTAAAATGCTGATTTGCACGGGACTAATATTATCACAGGACTTCCGTGTTCTTGTGAAATATAGTAGGTCATTTCCGGGGTAATTTGTTCTTTACAATTTATGTCCGATTTGGACGGGATTAAGATCTCAGGCAACCTCTGCAATTATTACAAATGACTAGACGTCACCAGGTAATGCTTATCCCGTGCGAATACGGCTTAAGTCTGCAATTGCTATATTCATGGAACTGTGTAATTAAAGACTTATTCAACAAGAAAAAACCCATTTCACACTCTGTTGATCACAGAAAATTGCCATGGAGAAAGCATTCTGTGCAAACACAAACACTTCCCGAGATTCAGGATCGATCCCAGAATGGGGACTGGGTAACATTGGGATCAGTCCCGGGACGAGCCCAACATTCACACAGCACATGAACAGGATTTGTAGGAACAAAGAGAAAAGTGTGACACAGTCTAATGTCACGATGTGTGTGAAATCACTGGCAGTGTGAATGAACCAAAATCAGCACGAATCCAGGACACATTATCAGTGTATTTTCAGGAATCTCTGTGTGAAATGAGCTAAACATCGACAAACTGAAAGAACTGAGGGCTTAAATACACATATAGAGCAACGTTAAACACATGTCAATCAAATAATTTGATAATAAAAAAAACAACATAACTTTTACAACCTTATGTTTAAAAATGAATTGTAATTATTTAACAATATGACATTTATTCATATCACTGTTCTTTTAATATTTGCACAGTAAATGTCATATCTTGCTAAATCAGCGGTGTGTAATACCTGGTACTGCTTGAACTTGCGGCGACGGTAGTAAATCTCACCAGCGGTAACAACTGCAGAAACCAGCAGAACAACACCAACACATATTCCTGCTACAACACCTGAAGACAGACCTGACCCTGGAACAGATGAAGAGAAACAGCGGCTGATAATCCATCCAGTGCGTAACAATATTGACTGATACACCTTTTTTACATTGATTTTCAGTTGTATGATATTGATTTAACATATTAATTGTAATTTTTAGCAACAGCAGCTAAAACAGCTTCTCAGCATTGTGAACTTTGGGATAGTTCACTTTGTAATTAATTTTTGATATGTTTTATCTTACCTCAAGGGCATCCAAGATGTAGGTGTCTTTGTTTACGCACTACGCAGTATTTTCAATTTTGATATTTTTAGGTCAAACCGTTCTTGTCTGTCAGTCATATAATAGAGGTCTATGGTCACCACCTCAAAGAGCATGCACAGAGAAGTCCAAATTAAACATGATTTAATGACTCGTAAAAAAAGGCCTTCGACACGAAATGAGCGGTTTGTGTGAGAAAACGAACGGTATTTATATCGTTTTTGCCACGTTCAAGTGAGGCCGCGGGCGCTTTGTGACTCCCTTTTTCCATTTATTTATTTATCAGGGACAATGCACAAAATACATTAGTCTTACGAAGAGATGCTTTGTGCCAGAGTTAGCCGAAGCTAATTTTCATTCACAGTCCCCGGGCAGGTGCACACAATTTAAGACTTTAAAACATTGCATTACTAAACAACTATCAATAGTAATATCAGCTATTAGTCTATGAGGATCATATAAAAACAATCTGTGATTACAAGAGGTAAAAACAATATAAAAACTGTTCGTTTTCTCACACAAACCGCTCGTTTCGTGTCTTAGGCCATCAATGTGTACTTACAATTACGAGTCATTAAATCATGTTTAATTTGGACTTCTCTGTGCATGCTGTTTGAGGTGGTGACCATAGACCTCCATTATATGACTGACAGACAAGAACGGTTTGACCTAAAAATATCAAAATTGAAAATATGTGGAAACAAAGACACCTACATTGTGGATGCCCTTGAGGTAAGATAAAACATCCCAAAAATTAATTTCAAAGTAAACTATCCCTTAAAAAATAATCAATGGATATGCATTGATAATTATACACTCACCAATGACAGTAAGATTGAATCTCTTCACTCTAGTGATGCTGAAGCTGCTGTTGATGTTGATGATCTGTAGTTTATATTCTCCAGAGTCAGTGTTTGTGATGTTCGTGATGGTCAGAGATCCGGTTACATTCACCTTCAGTCTGTCTTTAAATCTCTCATCTCCATCTTCACACTGAACATCTGTGCAGGTTTTATTTGGATCTCCCGTGATTTCAGCGATGAGAGTTTCATTAAAATACCACGTCATCACATCACTTGGTTTCCTTATTTCACAAGGATCTAAAGTTACAGATTCTCCCTCCTGTTTATTCACTTCATATAATTCAGAAGCAGAAACACCTGAAACACAAAGCAACAGCTGCAGAGGATCTTTTTGAGGAAAACAAATAAACTACAGGACAAAAGAACGAACTGCACATGAATGCAAATGCACGCCCCTTCTTAACTATTGATCTGAAAAGAACCATTTATGCCTGTTTTAAACCCATTTTGCATATCTGTATTCACATTTAATCCGGAGATCAGATATGTGATTAAACACGGTCATCTGAGCTAAAATACAACTTCCTTTACAAAAATACTCTTGCAAATAGAAATTATTTTATTTTAAATCAAAACGAACTTTTTGATTAACATGCTGAGACAATTAGCCTAAATAGCAAGTTTGTAAATATTATCTGTATACTATATGTGAATTAAAAACTACAGATTAAGAAAATAACTCTTAATATCGTTGTAAAAATAATAAACATTACCGATATGATTTAAGTAGGCTACATACAGTTTAAAATAATAAACATTAATGACTCACCGTGAACATTAACACTGAAGATCGTTTCACTGTTCCTGTCGTCACTGATGATCAGTAGTTTATAAACTCCCGACTGTGTGTTTGTGGTGTGTGTGATGGTCAGAGATCCAGTCTGATGATCCAGCTTCAGTCTGTCTCTGAATCTCTCAGTATCTTTATTACACTGATTATCTGTACAGATCTTACTGAGATCTCCACTGATTTGAGCGATTCGAATGTCATTAAAATACCATCTAATATCATCTTGTTGGTTTGATTGAACACCAGTGTATAGAGTGACTGAATCTCCCTCCAGCACTGACACTGTATCAGCTGATCTAACACCGAAAACACCTGAGGAAGAAACGGTTAAATAGTCAAACAAAAACATATTGTGTGATTTCAACAATGTCCCCTTTCGCTATCTACATATGTTCACTCATGCATCGGTTTTATCGTTGACTCAAAGAGAGATTCTAAAGTCTTACCATGGTCGAGAAAAAACATGATCATTGAGAACGAATGAATGAAAAGCTTCATTTTCAGCACTTTTCACTCGGAAAAAAATGATTTTTTCCGCTAATTCCGATCCATAAAAGGGTTCTTCTGTTTTATTTGAGACGTTTTAATGAAAACAATAACTTGAACTTTCATAGAGCGCGCGATGACGAGGAGAAGGGGTGTGACGTTTAACACGCATGCAGCCAGGGGATTCGTCGTGCTTTGTTAAACATCGAGGCGTGGATTTTATTATTTTAAAGAATTTGTAGACTTCTGTCCGTTAACGAGATTTGAACACTACATTATTATTTTACTCTAAAATCACAAAATCAAATCTGCAATAATCCCTTGAACTAGTAGCCTAAACGGTCATAAATCAGGTTATTATTTTTTAACTGTTCTTAAAGGAGTAGTTCACTTTTAAGAAAACTTTTACTGATAATTTACTCACCCCCATGTCATCCAAGATGTCCATGACATTCCTTCTTCAGTTGAAAAGAAATTAAGGTTTTTGATGAAAACATTCCAGGATTTTCTCTATATAACGGACTTCATTGGGAACCAAACGGTTTAAGGTCTAAATGAGAGTTTCAGTGCAGCTTCAAAGGGCTTTAAACGACACCAGATGATGAATAAGGGTCTTATCTGCCCATCGAGTCATGTCTCAAAAAAAAGATTTGTTCATTTTGATGAACGAGTTCGAACAGGAGGGTCACGAACGCGCATCACAAAACAGAGCAAGGCGAGCATTTGTGCTTATAAAACTTAAACTTTTTTACTTATTTTTTAAAATGAGCGATCGTTTTGCTTGATAAGACCCTTATTCATCGTCTGGTGTCGTTTACAGCCCTTTGAAGCTGCACTGAAACTCTCATTTGGACCTTGAACCGTTTGGTTCCCATTGAAGTCCATTATATGGAGAAAATCCAAAACGTGAAAAAAATTGACTGGGCCTGAGACAAGAGTACAGCATGAGTAATAATTAATGACTTAATTTTTATTTTTGGGTGAACTATCCCTTTAAGGCCCTTTAGGTGACTTCAAGAAGATAATATTTCTGTCACCAAAAATCACCAATTGCCTCCTGTGAAATGCCTCCAACTGTGACAGCTGCCATAGCGCCTGTCCCCGAATGTTGACTGTTTGTCTGAGTGAGTGGAGGGGTAGTATGCAATTTAAAAAAAACACATGCCAAACACACAGTCCATTCGCAACTTAATAATAATTTAATAAATAACAACTTAAAGTGTTGAATATGTGTATTATGGGTGCAAATGAACTGATTAGTGAGACAACAAGTTCATAACTATGCTCACAGTTTATAAGTAAGCAAAGCCAGACCTACAATATTCTAATGATGAAGACTTATAGTTTAGTGTAAATACATTTAGATGTCTGCAACACTGTGGGAACGTCATGAGCCACAGCATCCCCAGAGAAACATGCAAGGCAGCCTCGGTCGGCATGCAGCAGATTTGCCGGGTGTCTTAAAGTCAGTCTTACACTTGCAAATGACAAGTTTTGGCGAGTTCTTTGAAATAATGGCAGCTGTAGACAGGAGTTGGTGGTGTAGCAATTCTTAGCTCAAATAAAGGGGATATAATTTTAATAACTGGTCATGAATATGTCCAATTATCGCATACATAGAGTTTCCAACGGTCTATATGGACATCTGAATACAACAAATTATATTCAGTTCTCCATAAAGGCAGGCAAAATTAGATCAATTGTATATCACAACGAATTATAATTAAATATTAATAAGTCAATTGTCTAAGATAGATCGATTGTATGAACAATCTTGCATGGGTTCAATTTGTTATCAGATGGTATCGAATGGTCCTTGTATTTAGGAAAGCTTAGCTCACGCTTCTCCTGGGTGAACTGACCAATAATAACACTCGGAAACTTTGCGCAGGAGAGAAATATTTCGTCTTCTCAGGACAACTCATCTACATAGTTTATGACATCTGCTAAAAGATGTCATTTCTAAAACAGAAAGCTTTTGCGCACAGAATAACACATTTTACTGTATTTTCCTGTAGGTGTCTGATTCGGTGAGACCAAGAAGATTAAAACAATACCTAGAAGATGTGAAAAAAAATATGGGAATTACAAAGATACATCTTAATGCATAATTATACACACTTATAGTTAATTTAATACTACGATAAAATCATAGATCTCCAATATGCCATGGGCAAACTGGCACGCATGAGGTCTCAGATGTCTGGAAACACCCCACACAGCTGCATACTGTACATGTGTTGGACCCCTAAAAGTGACTTTTTGGAGCCAGGCTGTTGAATTCTTAGGGTGTAGGAATGCATGATTCACCCTGGCGTGACCCTGAAGAGTCTGGCGAATCCTGCTGCCATCCCATAGAGACGGTGATACTGTTGCATGGTCTTTGACAAGTGATGTATTGCCCCATACATGTCCACTCTAAAGAGAAACATTATTAGAGATACAAAGGCCCTTCATTATTCTTAGCCATGTTTATGTTATGCCCCAACCTGATGAGCTTCTCGATGGAGGTGCTGATGAAGAGCATCACTGCTTGGTGGCATGTGTCAAAGTCTTTTCCTTTGTGGAAGACGAGGGAGAGTCGTGCAGCATTCACAGTTGAGATCTTGTCCTCAGATACACCATCGAGCA